AACCGGACTTCTCCTTTAACTTAAACTGAAATACATGCTCAGATAGGCTGGTATCGGCCAGTATCGGTATCGGATCGGAAGTGCAAAAACCTGGATCGGGACATCTCTATTCCTAGAATACATTTTTTTAAGCAAAAATTTTTTACCTAAAACTGAGGGAAAATGGGCTACCTTTGTACCGCCACTCTGGCGCTGTGGAGGCCTTTTGCTGTGCGACGCAGCGCCATATCAGTAGATGAGGCAGTCACAGTGAAAGACGCGGACTGACTCAAACCCAAAGCAACATGGATACCAAAATAACTAAACGGTCAATATCATCTGATGCAAAGATACAGCGGTTGCTTTTTTAACTATACATTCAATTTTGATAGTAGGTAAAATATCACAATATATGGTGTTATTGCAACATAGTGAATATATCCTATGGCAACACCCATGCCACTGCTAACCCCTAGTATTTAATCATGAATTCTGAATATGACTTTTCATTTAAGGGGGAATAAACTGATTTAAGGAGGTATTTTTCATCAGTGCCTTGCAGAATGAGACCCAGATCTGATACGGTTTCATGATCCAAGCTCAAGTTCTGAGAAAACACGATCTTTACAAAGTCTCTGTTGGTTCACCTCATCATAAAGCACCTCAAACAACACGAGCAGCAGGTTTGTGTCCCAGCAAAGCTCTAGATGGGGGGCCAGGGGTGGCCATGGCCACCCTTAGCCAATCCCTGGCCACCCCTACCCATTTTTCCCCTCTGGCAGCAGTAGTACTCTCAAGTGGACATTTTAATTTTTCATATAATCATTTTTACTTGACAACAAAAACACTTTGGTTAATTATGCACATCAATATGCTAACATTAAAGATAAGTACAGAGTCAATGCCCTTTTCAGAACTAGATTTTGTGTTAAATGGGGTAAAGAGAAAGTGATGCGTCTCAGCAAATCATCTAGAAGTCATCTTGTGAAAACATAGATAAATAACTATTTGAATAAAAACTTAAACTAAATAATAATAATAATAATCAATTTATGTAGATATTTATAGTAAATATCAATTTTATGCAGAATGATTATTGATAAAAGTAGGTATATAATGACAATGGAAAAGATGTTCGCCCCAGAACACAAACCTGAAAGACTTTTAGTCACTATACCTTTTATCTAGAAAGCACAGCTGTTTAAATATATACACGTCTATTTTTTAGTAAAGACTGTAGGAAAGTATCATTTGTCTTCATTTAGAAAATATGGACCTTGTGCTCGTTCATTTTCCTGTTGGAACAGCGTAGATCAGACTGGGAATGATTTTCAGCCCTGGCATTTTTCCATTCATCGCCGACCCTCAAAAAGACTAGATTAATGTTTAAATCCAAAGCCAAAAAAAGTTAGCTCGCGGAAATGGCATAGGATCCCATTTCTGGTGCAGATCGGGCAGAAGTCTGATAAAAGAAAGGATTTTAAAGCATTTATCATCTGAGAAAGTATATTATTAACCTTTAGGACATTATGGGGGAGGGAAAATGTAATTTAGGTCTTTTTAACAAAATAAAATCAAGGGTGACCAGGATGCTTCGGGAACGGTTTGGGTCGTGACATGCCTATCAACTTTGGGCCCCCTCCAGGTCACTGCCTGGCCACCCTTATAAAAATTCTAGCTACGCCTCTGCTGCCTGTTCTGAGGCCTTTCTAATACAACAAGAGGAAATCCTCTACAGCTTCAAAACAGCAGAAGGACTCCAAGCTTTCCATGTCACAAAGCGGTTCCTAAAATGGAACCACCTGGATGGCTTCCGGGGGCCCCTTGGGGGCCCCTTCTCCTCATCAGTCCTACAGCATCAGGAAAGAACTGCAGACACTGCAAGAATAAAGAAATACATCCTGCAGCCTGTTTAAAAAGGCATTAGAAACGGAAATTAACAGTTTTATTCCGCCAAAAAGAGGAAATTAAAGAAAGCAGGAAGCGAGACAAAAGGTGGAGGGGGAGGGAGGGAGGAGGGGGTGAGGCAGCATCCACTTCCCCCTTTGAAGAGCAGCTTGAAGAACAGAAGTAAAGCAGAGAAATGAAGCCAGGCTGCTTCATCAGAGAGAAAAACCTTCATCCATCCATCCATCCATCATCCAGGCTGATGGACACCTTCAGGGACGCAGAATATCCACGCGCTCCTCAGTGGGCAGCCTCCACGCGTGACAAAGAAACATCCGTTCACTCACGCAGTTCCCCGCAAAAACACAAAAACTCTGCTGCGAGTCAGACTCAGCGGTCCGGCTTCATCTGGACCAACTTTTCAAGGCTTTTCTATCATCTTTGCTTTAAAAACTCACTTTCATTCAAACGCAGCAGATAGAAATAATTCATCATAAATTAAACACAATTCATATTATTTTCCTTCAAAATGAATAAAAGCAGCTTTTTTCCCCCTACATCTGAGCAAAAGTCTGAAATGAACCTTAAAGGATGATTTATTTTCCTTTACCTGCTCCTAGGATGGGATGTTTTCTGTTAATTTCTCCTTTTAATGTCCTCAGTCTGCTCTGCCGTGTCCGTGTCCTCCCGTGTCCGTGACAGCGACTGATGCGTGGACGCGTCGGAAGCTCAGACTTTCGCCTATTTATAAGCTTCTCTTTCTGACCTTTGTCTCTGGAACTGGGGGACCAGATAGATGAGCGGCAGTGGAAAATCACCGGCCTGCCTCCTCTGAGCAACAGGAAAGCGGCGATGGCGCTGCGTTCACGGACAGCTGCCAGCCTCGGACGTTTCCTAAAGTGCGCACTTAACAGGAGAGAAGCACGTCGCTTTCAACTAACATCGATGTGAGCGTAGACATAACCTAACGTTTATACATTTAAAAAACTAATGCAAATAATCGACACTTTTAAGTAGAAGAAAAATCTATATTTTAAGAATAACTATGTAAAATAGTCTATTCCACCTTTGGTCCTAATTGAAAAGAAAGCCTCGCGCTGCATCACTATTCGTCATTTAACTTCAAACAAAGCTGTTGGGTTTGTATTTATCCCTGCAGTAAAACTTTTACTGACGAGTTCAAATCAATCTTTTCCGCAAATCGCGCACCTCTATTGTAATTATTGAAATTTACCAGCAGTTCCTGAATGCAGCATTAAAGATGTTTAAAGGAACAGTCCAACAGCGCCTAAAATTCATAAAAATGAAATAAAAACCATGTCCAAAATAACCCTCTAATTACCGACACTATTAGAGACGTTATCTTTCTTATTATTTGTCTTTTCCTGCTTTGGGACACAGTGGGTTGGGTGTGGTTTCTTTACAGCAGCGGGAAAATGACAGTCTGCTTTTCCAGAGTTAATTTGAATAAATAAATAGAGTGACAGGTAGAGGAACAGGAAGTTAAGGAACTTTTCCAATTTACCACCATAAACGAATGGCTTGTGATAATAAAACAACAGTTAACCAACTTTAGTGTCTTTGTGTTTTGACTTAACAATAAACCCAGGGGGGGATTTATCATTAGAAAATACTAAGCAGTTGCCTAGGGCCCCAAGTTCCTGGGGTATTACATATATGTTAATACAACAACTCCCTATTTGTGCACCTTAAGTCTGAAATTAGTCTGCTGTCATGATTCATGCAGCTATTATTTCATCCAAATGAAAAATGGAGAACAGAGAAGCAGATCATGGCTTGTCTACAGTGAAAAGAAGGACTGGGTTATTTACTTTGGCCTTTTTGGAAACACAGGAAGGAGCAATCAGCTAAGTGAGCTTAGTGCTTGGAAAAAGTCTTTCATTCCTTTTTTAACAGCATGAAAAGTCAGCTGAGTACAAAATATAGAGAGGAAAACAACAGGAAAAGGGACAAGAAGAGAGGAATAAAACCTAGAACAAATAATAGATGTCTATTCTATTAACATTTCTCTATCTGTAGAATAGGTCTGTTTTATGTGTTGTCTCCTCAATTTAGAGGGCCCCCTGCCTGTCTTTGCCTAGGTCCCCAAATTTCATAAATCTGCCCCTGCATAAACCTAAAACATAGATACCAGATAATAAACAGTATAGCCAATAGAAATAATTGAAACAAAACAAAATTCATTTTTACTTCAGTGCAATTTATTTCTAAAGTTCCAAATCACATCACATTCAATCTCAGGCCACTTTATAGGTCCAGGTCAATCAGATCATTCAGGATTCTCTCCAACTGGATGAGCAAGTAGAGACAGTAGATATTGACTCTTCAGCAATCCCTCACAGTGAGCATGCATTTAACAAGAAACAAATGTTAGCAGAACCAGAAGCAGGCTTATTGTGAGTTAGACTAGGGTTCAAGGAGAGAGAAGCAGATACAGAAAAGAACATAGAAGCACTGATCTAGTAATAATTTCTGTTAGAAAAGCTAACAGTAAACTAGCTCCACAGGTGACTCTGTCTGGGAAAGAAACCTAGACGAGCTATGAGCCAGTTTTCATGTTAAAGGAGGAAAAAGAGAACATCCAGTTAGTCACAGTGAAAGCTGAGCCCAAAGCTATGTCTAGGAGAGAAACAGGAATACACTGAAAAACAGGCCAAACTCTATAATCTATAATCTAAGCTGTTGACGGCATCAGCAGAGCTGATATTTCTCTCCAGGATGGAGTCATAGACAAACAGGGACAGACCAGTTGAAGCTTATATGATGAAAAAAAAAACAAAGAGAGCAGAACGTTAGAGATTGAACTAAGAAATACTGCAGAATGGGAGAACAGAGATAGAATGAGCAGAATGATGAAAAGGGGGTCCCCATATCCTCCAGCAGTCTAATCCTATAGCAGCGTCACTACACTCACCGGCCACTTTATTAGGCA